ACAGTGGCAGTGCTCAGTTCCAACGAAACAACCCGCCTGATGGAAAAAATCACAAATTCTGGGGCCCCGTTCTAAGCGCTTTAAAGGGGTCCGCATTCACGTTGTCCGACAGAAACCGTCGGCAAACTCCCTCAAATGGGCATTTTTGTGCATTTTTTCTATGAGATATGATTTACTTTTTAAGGAGATCGAAAATCAATGAGAAAATTGCATGCTACTTACGTAGTCATTTTTTGCAGAGTATAGCTCTCGCATGCAGTCGGATAGAAGTTCATTCAAAAGCCTACATGCTGAGGTAACTGGATAATTATAGAATTATGCTGCATGGTGATTAATTTACAACACTACCTCATTTATCTTTTCAAAACGGGAACGCATTTCGAAATTTCGGCTGACATTTCATGAGTTAGCCCACCTACTGTAGAATTCAACCGTGCACCGTCGCTGCAAGAGTCCATTCAAGCTTCGTGCCGGATGTCCAACGAGAAAATACCAGATGCTGACTCACTTCCAGCTGAACTTTACAAGCATGTCGGCTCATGCATTATTGCAAAACTCACGTGGATGTTTTGGGAGATGTCGAGACAAAGACAAAGTTGTCAGAACTTCAGGGACGTCACTACCGTCCAACTACACCAACTCAAGGGAAACGACAACCCAGTAGCAACCTCTATAGCATCCCTCAGACCAACATTATAGGCAAAATGCTTGCCCAATTCCCGCTCAGTCGTCTGGAGCAAGGATTTCCCCCGCAAAATCACTGTGGGACTTACTTTTGAACAAGCCTTTTCCATCACTTCAGCCAATCCCATCTTGTCTCCTGCCTTTTTTAATTTTCCGCGCTCACCTTCAGTTCATTTAAACAATCGGTGTTCGTTAGGCTATATTTATTGTACTTTCCGGCGCATTCTCTTTCTTTCCTCGTCGCTACCAAAGGCCTGTTATCACCATTCTCGTATTCTAGGTGCCTTTGGCTATTACGCTAGCACTAGGCTGCAGGACCAATCCTCGCCCTGAACTTTTGTGTACGCAGGTCGACTTGTTCGAGTTCTCACAGGACTAATAAATTTAGGCCTCCAGGTTGTGCGATTCAAGGGGGAAGAAGGCACGACAAACCTAGAACGTGGAACGAATCATTGGAAGATATTTTGTAGGGGACGAAAGTTCGCCTTCGCTAAAACAAATGGGAGACGAGTAGTGCCCTATCAATGTGATACCAGGCTGGTCTAGGTGATCACTCATCACATAGTGCTCGATTGCAATCGCCGACGCTTGTGAGTGTGACGGTGTGTATCAGAACCAGGGGGCGGATAATCACACAAGAGGGCGGCAGAAAAGCCGTAGACTAACGGGTTGTCGGAGGTGGTCGACAGTTTCAAAGGTGACTCGGTCGGTGGGACAATTTTTTCATGTGGCAACGATCAGTCAGTATCAGTAGGTATATTTGAAAAAAGGCAGAAGCCCTTAGAACTCCTTTTAAACGGTACAAAGGCGCCTGAAAGAATTGATGTCATAGGTTGCCTACCCCCTCTCGGAAAAAGCGACCACGTAAGAATATTCTTTCTTCTCTGTACCTGATCTAAGCATCATGATCAGACGTAACATATGGCGTGGAGATTTTAACCAAATGCAAGTCGATAGGCGTCGCATATACTGGAAATCAACATTCGCGGAGTGTGTTCTCGAGGACTGGCTAGAATTTAAGGCTTTTGCATGGATTTATCATCAGATACTGTCCTAGATCGAAAAAGAAGATCACCATCAGGCCCTGATGGCTAAATTACGCAATAAGGATAGAAGTAAATTTCAAGTGAAAGCTGTGGAAAACTTATCTCACGGATAAGACTATTAAGTCAACGGATAATTATAAAGCGCAGAGAAATAGAGTAAGGTGCCTTGTTTACAGAGTCCGCCAAGACCCCGAGAGTGACCCGTTAAACTGTGCAAGCTAAAACTTAAAGCACTCGAAATAGGGATTTCATTCCTATGGAAAAAATGGATGATGATGTTGGACTTTGTGAGGAGGGCGAAAAGGCTGAGCATCTATTTAAATTATTTCAGTTGATTTTTGCGAGAGAAGCCAATCAAACTACTGGTAAGTATAGTGTGGACGAGGTTCCGAAAATCGACTCAGTGGTTCTAACAAATGCTATCGTTCTACAAGAACTACTGAAACTTAAGGAAGCGACGTTGTTAGGCTACGATGAAATATCGGCAAAGGTGTTGAAGGAGTTAGCCACAGAATTGGCAGAACCTCTATGTCTTCTCCTCCAAGCCTCCCTCAATGTAGGCAGACTGTCTCCTGAATGGTAGACTGCGTGGATTTCGTTGATATATAACAGTGGCACTCGTGTTTCTGAAAACAACTGCCGACTGGTGAGCCTCACCTCCATGTGTTGTAAAATTACGGAGTGAATTATCAAACGCGAATTGATGCCGTATTTAGAGCAACATCATCTTCTCTCTAATACTCAGCATGGATTCCGCAGTGAAAGGTCCTGCTTGACCAACTTGCTCTATTGTCTAGAACGCTGAACCCGAGCGATTGGCGGAAGGGATGTGATGTAGGTAGCCTTCGTAGACCTCAAGAAGAACTCTGATAGTGCGTCTCACCAGCGCCTCCAATACAAGCTCAGTCGATAGGGGTAAAGAGCAAGCTTTTGAGGTGGACCGGAGACTTCTTGATTGACCAATCTCAGATTGTCTGTCTTAGTGACCAGCAGTCAACAGATGTGACGGTCGAAGACGGAATTCTTCAGGGCTCTGTTCTTGGTCCTCTTAACTTCCTCATACATATTGATGAATTCCTCCATAGGTTGGACTGCAACATCATTATTTTTGCTGACGACATAAAGTTTTGGAATGTCATCCGCAACGAGGACGATGAAACAAATCTACAGGCAAACTTGAACCGGCTCGCGCAATGGTCAGTTCACTGGCTCCTCTCGTTCAGTTTTGCTAAATGCAACATTCTGTGCATTGGCAGAGCCAGCTCTACGGACCGGAGGAAGTACTATCTAAATCCTACACCGCAACCATAGGTAGAGTTTCGGAAAGATCGATATGTGTAGATAACATTCTCATAGAAGCCATCATTCTACTGCTTGAAAGTAGCAAATTCCGCAGTGTCAAGCTTAAATCTCATCAAGCGGGCATTTGCGAAGTTTGATGAAGAGTGTTCTAGCAAGATCTTTGGGATGTTCGTGCGACCACAGTTGGAATTCGCCATTCAGGCCTAGAGGTCATGGTCTGTCGGGAACCGGAGCACCCTTAAAAAAGTCCAACGACGGGCATCAAGCTCATCAGAGGTCAAAAAACCTACCTTACGAAACTAAACTGCGCAATCTTGACTATTTCCCTGGACTGCGGACAACAATGTGGCGACTTAATTCAAACGTTTCACATGCTGCGGGGTCAGGATTGCTGCCTCGCATCCAGCTACTTTTTTGGGCCGGCCACCACTGCCAGCTTGAGAGGACATTCTCCCAAAATACGTGTGGTTGGGGAAAGATTGGACGCAAGGAAATTCTGTTTCAGCCACAGAGTGATTGAGACATGAATGCTCTGCCTGAGGACGTCGTCAAGTCCTAATCTGTGGACACATTTAAGAGGAAGCTTGATTAGTACATGAAAATGTACCATCACAATAGCAAAAACTAAAAAATTTCTCCCCTTATATCATCCATCCCGAAAGTTATGCGTTGTGAGGCATACTACTCCCTGCGTTTCAGTAATATTATTTTATAAAGTTTAGTTAAACACCCCACAGGATAGCAGCGTGCGACCCAATGAATCCCGACCGAAGTGATAGTGTTCGTGCTCATACTACTTGGACAATTTCAGCAACGAATTCTGATAGTTTCACAATTTGGACACCGCATGCATACGACAGTTCGTCCGTCGATTTCGACGATGACCACCGTGTGCCCCACAGACTGCATTGTGGGAGCAGGGACGGTGACTTAGGCAGGGGTTTATAGTGCCAGTAGACTTGCGTAGCATCTACCTACACTCTCTCCTCCTCCCCCGCCTGGACCCGGTGTCAAGACAGAGTCAAGAAGACCGGAGACGAGGGAGGCCGCAGGTGGATGGCTCGGACGGATCCTCACCTTGGCGTTCCACCACACCCCCTGGTCCACACAACAATAACCAGGATTACAACCAACACAACATAGATTTGGAGGCTGGCACGGCCGAAGCCGCACCTGGGCGTGCCGCGAACGCCTGACTCGGATCCCACACAGTGGTGAGAGAGCCATAAAGGCCACATTAAAAAGGAGCCATTGCAGCCTGACTCTCAGACCGCCTCCCGTTAGGGAGGAGGTCCAAGGTACCCCGTCAGTTGGCAACCTTCCAAGCCACGGCTTTTAGCGCACCGTGATAGCTTCAAGCGCGTCAGATTGATTATAGTGAGGAGAAAGTGCGCTGAGTCGTCGACCTCACTCTCCCTTCCCATTCCCACACCCCAGCCGCTGTCCGAGCCGGTCAGTGGACTGGAGTGGGGAATGGGCGCGGTGGCTGACATGGTCGACTGACCATGCCTGCGCGCGCCACAGCACGACCTGGCCCCCCATACAAACACAAACACCAGGATTTCACACAACTGGGGTTGAAAGGCGTGTCTCCCACTTGCGTGAGAGGGCCGTGGAAGGTGCTGCTTCAGCCCGTCCCCAGCCCACCAGTCCGCCACTCCACACAACACACACACACAACGTGACGAACTGCGTGAACCGAGAGCGGGCCTCAATCAGCAACCTTCCTATCCACGACGCTTGGCGAGTCGGGATAGTCTCGGACACAAGTCACCCATGCAGCCAAAGCCGCATGGGGACCGAGTCGAGATGCACACTTCCCACTTGCGTGGGAGGCGGCAGTTGAGTGCATGAGGTGTGTGGGGGTTGATGTCTGATGGGGTGATGGTGTTAGGAGGTAGAGAGTGAGGGAATGTGTGGTGTGACCTGCGGTTGTCTACCGCAGGTCGTCGTGGATGCGCATGTGGCCTAATAGACCCATGCGATGCGTGAAGGTGCGAGGGCAGTGTGGGCAGTGGAGGCGAGTGCGGTGGGTGTAGATTGGTGCTCCAGGCACTGGTTCGCCAGTCTCTGTGCGATGGATTCGCAAGTGACCCACCAGGCCGATGCGTGGGGTGAAGGTGCGTGGACAATGTGGGCATGAGAGGTCAGCGGTGTCGGTGCCAGCTGTAGCGGAAGCGGTGGTGTTGGTGGTGGTGGCGGTGATGGTGGTCGGCGCGTATGACGGTGAATTTGGCCTCCTTGACGACGAGAACCCGTCGCGACGTCTCCGTAGAAGAGGCGTTTGGGTAGTCGCTCGTCGTCCATGCGCACCAGGTCGCCGCTCCAGCGCAGCTGCATTTGTTTCAGTATGGCATAGATGCTGAGGATTCCCGTTCGTTCCAGTACTTCCGTGTCGGGGATTCGATCCTGCCAGTTCAGCCTCAGGATGCGACGGAGACAACTGAGGTGGAAGTGGTTCAGTCGGCGTGCCTGTCTCGTGTACACCGTCCATGTCTCTGCTCCGTACAGTAACGTCGGCAGGATGACGGCCTTGCACATCTTCAGCTTCGTGCTCAGTTGGAGACCATGGCGATTCCAAACTGTGCTTTCGAGGCGACCGAAGGCTTGACTGGCTTTCGAGATCCTGTTGGCGACTTCGCCGTCGATCTTGGTGTTGCGGGAGAGCGTGTTGCCCAGGTACGGGAAGTTCTCTACCACTTGCAGTTGATTTCCATTCACGTTGATTTGCGGCGCGTTGGGGGCTGTGACTGAGTTGGGTGGCGGCTGATGCATCACCACCGTCTTCTGCGTGTTGATAACCAGCCCAAAGTTCTCGCAGGCGGCGGAGAATAGGTCCATGCTCCGTTGCATCTCCTCTTCCGAGGTGGTGTTCAGGGCGCAGTCGTCGGCGAAGAGGAGTTCGTGCACGGTGGCTGTGGATACACGCGATTGGAAGTTCATGCGCCGTTGATTTAGGAGACGACCGTCCGTCCTGTAGGCGATGCGGATCCCGGGGCGTTCGTCGCGGTAGGCGTCCATCAGCATGGCAGAGAACATGAGACCGAAGAGGGTAGGCGCCAGCACGCATCCCTGCTTCACTCCGTTGGTCACTGCGAATGCCTCTGAGACAGCTCCGTTGTCCGTGACTCGCGCCATCATACCGTCGTGCAGCTGACGCACCATCTGAGTGAATCGCTCCGGACAGCCGAATTTCTGCATGATCTTCCACAGTCCTTCACGATTCACTGTGTCGAAGGCTTTCGTCAGGTCCACGAAGGTAGAGTATAGGTGGGTCCGCATCTCCTGGCACTTCTCCTGGAGTTGGCGGGCTGCGAAGATCATATCCGTGGTCCCACGATGACGACGGAAGCCGCATTGGCTTTCCGGCAGAAGGCCCTGTTCCAGATGGTTGTTGAGGCGGTTGAGCAGGATGCGAGCGAAGATCTTCCCGGCGATGTTCAGTAGGGAGATGCCGCGATGGTTGTCGCAGACTTGGCGATTCCCTTTTCGCTTGTATAGGTGCACGATAGTTGCGTCCTTGAAATCTTGCGGGACTTCACCTTGACGCCACATCTCCTGGAAGAGCGCAGTCAGGTGATCCATCAGTAGGGGACCTCCGTGCTTGTAGACCTCAGCAGGGAT